GGGGGCTGTCAGTTACTCAACTTACTCCCTAGGTGACTTGACCGGCACGGACAGACGGAGGGATGGATGGATGGATGGGTACGGTACACATTACACAATGGACAGACAGCCTAATTAACTAACTTGCATCCATGTCTGTATGTCTAAAATGTCCCACCCATCAGCCAGCCAAGCCAGAAACAAACACCGCGCATGGGCTACTGGAAGTGGCTGGTGCTCACGGCGTGTGGGTCGATCTGCCTGGCGGTGTGACCGTTGCTTTTGATTTTGATTTATTCGACCTACATTGACCGTCGAATAAATCATATTCCTACACAATCTGCCGTTTGCCTTATACGACCATCACAGCACCCATATCTATCCCGGCGTCCACCCACCCATCACTATCCATACGCATCCCTAGCTATCCCCGCATTTCTGCGTCCACTTCCGCATCGCCACCGTCCGCCTGCTGCGGCATCTCTGTCGTCGAGACCGCAGCGAGGCCGTCATAGTGAAGACCATCATGTGGATATGCAATGAGACAGATATCTTTCGAACGATTATCGATATCTTTCGAACGATCTCTATCCCCTTACATATCCTCATGATGTTCTTCACTGTGGATTCCTTCTTGACCACCGTCTGCGGTCTCGCTGATCCTTTAGCTACGCGCCAAAAGCCGCGCGAAGCCTTTCATCACCATGGAAAGCCCTTGTGCTGCTTTGCCAATAGCTCTAAGCCTCACAGTTCCGCTGAGGGTTATTCTGGTCTTTCCTCCCTGAGCATCGAACAGCCCACCCACCCATCTATCTATCTATCTATCGGTCGATCAGCGGCACCATCCAGCCAAACTTGTCGGCCTCTTCACCATACTGTATACCGCGCACACGCCTGCAGACACACGGAGAGAGAAGAGCGCACAACACACACGACAGACACACTGATCAGTGGAAGCACCCTAATCCGTCCGTCCGTCCCTCTGTTGGTACCTGTATAGCCTCTCGAACACAGGCCCAACTGGTCGGCCGTCGGGCCCCCTCACCACATACGTCCTGACATGAATGACAGGCACACGAACTGCCATTTTTCTTGCTGGCTGTCTCGCCTCCGCACCCTTGGCTATGTGTGGGTGTAGTGTATGTGTGCTGTGTGGCTGGGCTCACTTCACTTACTTGTCCTTGTGCACGATTCGGTCGATTGGTGTGATGATGACGGCGGTCCCACATGCAGCCACCTCAGAAAACGACCCCACCTCCTCTTCACACACACATGTATACATGGATCGATAGGGTCCATCGTACAAAGAAGTGACATACATACACCGTATGCATGCTCATTCCATTCGCCAGTGAGTGACACGGTACTGTTGCCTACCGATTGGGACAGGTCTTCGTTGCGTGTCGAGGCCCTCATCTTTGGCCAATTCCATGAGGGAGAGGTTGGTGATAGAGGGAAGGATCGAAGGCGACTCGGGTGTCACATACCTATCAGTCAGCACACAGAGGGGAAAGTGACACATGAGACAGACATACGCGTGCTTGAGTAGGTCACGTGACACAGACTCGGTCAGTCCCTCCCTCCCTCACGTGTTGCCATCTTGTGTGACAGCGATGAAGTTGCTGGTGGAGAATTCATCAATGTATCGATTCTCCTTGGCGTCCAAATACAAGGCAATCGGAAATCTGACATGAGCACCGCACATGGAAGGCGGATTGACATGTGTGTGGGCCACCGACCCGCCGCCGGATTTCTGGTGCACTCAGCTCACCCTTTGCTCTTGCCGATGGAGTTGGGCAATAGGTCGGCGGCATAGTTGCCCGCCACCTTGTATGCGCCCACCCCCTGAGGCGCCGCCCTGTCGTAGCCCTCAACCACCCACGCAGACACCTACATAAACCACATCCGCATACAAACATACCGACACGACAGACACCGGTACGGACAGCACGTGCAGATGAGATGGATGATGCCCTGTAGTCGTTTGTTTCGTCAGGCATGCATCCATCCCGGTGAGTGCTGGATCGATGACTGACTGACCGGCTGCAGCCCTCCCTTGTAGTAGTCGCCCACGGGGATGACCATGACAAAGAAGGTGTACTCCTCCGCAGGCTGGACGCCGATGCGAGGCGAGGAGCCGATGAGGACGGGCCGGAGGTACAGCGACCCTCCCGTTCCGTATGGAGGCACATAGGCAAGATTCGCCAAGACCGCTTGACGACACGCCTGCACATCATAAAAATATGGACAGGAGAGATGGGCGTGGCCTGTTTGTTGTGTGTGGCATCGCTACGATGCCTACATAGATGAAGATGTTCTCAGGGACGGGGGGCATCATCAGCCGTTCTGCGCTCCGCTGCAGACGCCTATGGATAGACCCAGTTCACGAGGATGGTCGATGAATGGGAAACTAGCTGCCCAGGACGAATATCTAGATTGCTCACCGGGCGTTGTCGAGCGGTCGAAACATCCTGACCTTCCCGTCCTTACAGTGGAAAGCCTTCAGCCCCTCAAACGCCTTGACGCGCCACCCACGGCAGACCACACACACACATGCACCGCACCCGCATCCCCACCAATCGAGTGCTGCGTGTGTGTGTGCGTGGTCTCACCGCCTGGCCATAATGCAGTGCAGTTGCCCCGACATGCAGACTGATGTAGGGCTCCTGCTCCATTCTGCCATCGTCCCAGCCCTTCTCGGCTGTGTAGCGATAGACACAGTAACCGTCCGTCGGCAGATACTCGAACCTGAGCGCCTCCCAGTCAAGGTTGGCAGTGCCAACCAGGCTTTCCTCTGTCGCAACAGCACGGAATGGCGTCCGCCGGCGGTTGATCTCTTTGCTGAGGCGAGGCAGGGGCGAGAGGAAGGCTGGCTGGTGAGCCTTGATCGTTGATGCAGCTGCCAGATGGATGGCCGTCAGGATCAGTAGCAGATGCGGTGTTCTCCATTCGCCATGACCCATCAACTGCATTGATCAGAGGACAGACAGTGATCTGTTCCCTCCTGAGTCGCGAGCTCAGGCTCGCAACGGTAGGAAAGGCTCCTTCTACTGTCCTTGAGCGCGTGTGTTGCTCTTCTCTTCCTTACAACCACCATTCTAGGCTGCCGAGAGTAGGTGTCAGCACAGCAGTAGCCCGTTCTTTTTTCACTTACCATCGCAAGAAGCGTCTGCAGGGCAGGAAGGAAGGAAGGAAGGACCTGTTGCCTGGGGCAGGCAGAGCCTTGAGCAAGTGCAGTGGACGTTTGTTTGTTTGTGTCAAGGACTTGCCCACCGCAGGAGCACTCCACTCACGGCGGTCAGCGACATGCATCACAACAGACCGAGAGGGAGACGATACGCCCCATGCACGTATGGCTGGATTCTTCCTTCTGTGGTTAACTGCTTTCAGGTGTTGATGATGCCGCTCTAAGTCATGCTCTATCGATTGCAGCAGCTTGTGAGCATCTTGAGCAAGGCTAACAGCATCCATGGCCGCCTCACCACCGTCGCCTACGCCCTCTACCTCGCGTATGGCGCGACGTCGTACGTGTACCGGCGATACGAGCGGTGCCAGCGCAAGATCCGACACAAGGACCGGCATCTCCAGCTGCGGTACATCAAGGAAGAACTGAAGGACGAGATGCAGGGCGTCTATGCACTTGCCCGCTCAAGAATGCGGACGCGCATCGAGTCGGCTCGGGTGTGCTACCAGACGTCCCGCCAGCTGTGGGCGAGCTGGCGGAGGAGCCGTAAGAAGCGACTGATGAGGGAGCAGCAGCTGGCACAGGCACGCGCCGAGAGGGGGTGGGAGGAGGGAGGAGAGTGGGTACTGCTATGAGAGAGGGACGAATGGATGGATGGATGGATGGACAGACAGACAGACAGACAGACAGAGACGTGTACATGACACGATCGATGTGATTGAAGCATGTATGGTATGTATGGTATGCACACGTGGCTGAATGAATGAATCATGACTGTTTGAGAGGTACAATTTATTTGTCTGTGCACAGCACACGTGTGTCAAAAGCAGGAAAGGCGGGCGGGCAGAGAAACCGGCCGTTTATGGCCGAGTCGAGTCGAGCCTGCCTTTGCAATCGGTGCATTGACGCGTTCGTGTTGTGTCCCCTGCCTCCGTGCCTTGTCTTGTCTGTCTGTCTGTCTGTCGGTCACTCCTCTGACTGTGTACGAACGTACTTACCAGTGATATGCACTGACTGATACCCAACAAGCCTGCCTGCCTGCCTATCTCTGTCTGTTCATTCATCATTGTATAAATGTATGTCTGTATGCCATGGCCTTGGCGTGTCAAGTGAGTGGCTTTATGGCGGCTCGGCTTGTGTAGGATAGCTAGATGAACGACCGACTGATGGATTGCCGATGGTCGGTCGGTTTTTGCAGATGAACGACAGACACATATCTATCTATCTATCTGCGTGCGTGTGCTGCGTGCATGTCTTGATGAATTGCGTCGATCACACATGGACGACTGCAGTGCCAGCTAAAGGTTCTCATGTCGCCAAACACATCTACGGGCAACCCTGACCCTCACCACTGCGGCCACTTGAGCTGCTTGATCTCTCTCACCACCGGGCGCCTCTTAGCCCCCGCTGAGATGTATATGTCAGGTCGGTCAAGGTCTCTTCCACCATACACCCACCCCCCACCCACCCACCCACACACATGCATTCAGTACGTCCCACTCACTGGTAAAAGGATGCTGCACACGAATGAAGGCGCCAAGCAGAGAGAGCGTGCTTGTGTGCTGTGGTGTGCTGTGCTGTGCGATAGACACATACACACGTATGTACATGGAACAATGGAGCGAAGAAAACGCGGTCAAACCACTTGTCCAATCACGGCTACACGGGTCGCATCAGTCAATCACGGCAGACAGGCAAACAGACAGGCACTTAGACAGACAGGACGTACTGCCAGGATCAGCCACGACACGCCAAGCCCTCTCTCGCTTTGTGCACTCCCTTATCCCTCACCATCGCACTTACAAAGAACGACCCCCTAGGTGCATATGTGCAGTCACTTGATGAAAACACACCAGCCACCCACTTGATGTCATCCACAGCTCCACACGTACGATGCTCGTGCTTAAAGACGCACGAGCCCCCTTTACACAGCCATCAACAGAGATATGTACACGACACGCTATACTATGTGTGTGTCCACAAACACCCACACACGCACTATCTATGTGACTTGGTGTGTCTAGTAGTAACTACCACTTGTTCTTCTTCCCACGCTTCTTGTTCTTATACCACTTCTTGACCTTGTTCCACTTCTTCTTGAGCTTCTCATAGAGGCCCAGCCTCCGCTCCGTGGGGCTCGACGACTCCTCCACGGCCTCCACGCCACTGGCCTCATCTTCATCTTCATCTACACACACACACACACACACACACATGTGGCCAACACAATCACGTGTGGTTGCGGCAGCGACGGCTGCACACCCACCTGTAGGTGCAGCCGTCGGCTCATCTGGCCCCGTCACAAGAGCATCAGCCCCTACAAGCAAACAAGCACACAGGAAAGGCGCGTACTTGTGCAGCATGTGGATGAGGTGCAAACACCCATCATGTGTGTACCATCGGATGTCACTTCGGTGTCGTCACATTCCCCGCCTCTCAAACGCCGGGCCACTGCGGACGGCGCATCAGCATGAGCAGCCCGCTTCACATCATCAGCGGAGACCAGTGCGATGCCGAGCAGGCACACCAGCAACGAAAGGGAGAGGGCCTTCATCGGTCGTGAAGCGGACGATGGGAGGAATTCGAAACGCAGACGAGCAGCGGGAAGACGACCAACGACGAGAGCCTTGTTGAAGAGAATAAGTTGGGCAGCGAGAGATGAGAGGCAACCGATGAGAGTGGAGTCGAGGGATGCTGCAGATGGACAGAAAGGGGGGCGGCCGTTAAGACAGAGGGCAGAGAGACAGGCAGATAGCAGGAGGGCTGTCGTCGCATGGCGAGAGAGGAGAGCGCGATCCGCGTGTGCGCAACGGCTGCGAAATATGTAAACGCTCTTGCCGCGACCGACCTGGCATTACACATCAAATGCCTGCAGACCGCAGGTGGGAGCGCTCTCGGCTGATCTGAACGATGTGGAGTTTGCTTTCTGAAGGGGGAAAGTCGGGCGATTGTCCTGTGGCTCGCTGCCCTTCTGGGAAGCTCCCTGAAACCGCAACCGTTCGTGTCTGGGAAGCAGGGAAAAACGACGGACAAACATCGCCGAGGTCCAGCTAGAGCACGGGGGGGACAGCCAAACTCTGACTGAAATCTGACTGAGATCTGATGACCTGTTCATATGTGTGTGCGTTCTCTCTTCGTGTGATGCAGATCTGCTGTGAGGAAAAGGACTGCCTCCGATCCCCTTTGATGGATGTGTCCAACAACAAGGAGTACCAGAAAGATGAGTCAGACCCGCTGGTGGACGAAGACCGCCCCGTCGATGCAGATGGCCAGCCGCCCCTCATCACCCTTCCTCTGCCTGTCCCCGTCCCTCCTGAGTGTTTCTTTGGCTCATCGCGGCCGCGTGAGACGCTGCTGGCGCTCCCCTTGGCACAGCAGCACCACTGGCAGAGGCTACTGACGTCGTTCCAGGCCTATGGGCGGCACAGTGAGGGCAACCGAGTGGACGTATTGGATGATGGAGATCAGGTGCTGCAGGCCATGCTCGAGGTCAGTGCAGGCATCCATAGAAAGACATAGATCACGCAATTGATGCATCCATCTCGTCTCTCTGCAATTAACGTTTGCTTGGCTCACTGATGATGCAGGCCATCTGTGCCGCCCGCACTCGTGTGTGGCTGGAGTCGTACATCTTCGATGGGTCCAAGCTGGCCGAACGGTTCGTGGATGCGCTGGTGGATGCAGCTCACCGGGGCTGCGACACCCTACTGCTCATCGACTATGTGGGAGCCTTCTCCATCAAGTCGCGGTGGATTGACCGCATGCGCAAGGCCGGTGTGGCTGTCATCGTCTTCAATCCCGCACTGCCTGGTGGGGTGGGCCTATCGGTCACATGACGGACGGACGCATCCACCAGCTCCCCTTGTCCAATCAATCGGCTGCAAATCTCCTTCCTCTCTGTTTGCAGGTCTTGACGGCAGCAAGTCCATCGGCCCCCTGTCCTACCGGGACCACCGCAAGATCCTCATCGCAGACACGACGGCCTTCTGCGGCTCAATCAACATCTCCGACGATGCCGGCGGGCCCCTGCTGGGCAACTCGCGATTCTACGACGTCCACATGCGGCTGCGGGGCCCCTGCGTGGCCCACCTGGCTGACGTGCTGCGCGACTCGCTGGCCGAGGCCTTCAGGGATGTGTGGCGGCCGCCCATCGATGTGCCTGAGGAGTATGAGGACGGCGTGTATGTGCAGGTGCTTGAGTCCAACATCCGGCAGGGGAGGCGGCAAATCATGGACGCGCTCAGCAAGGCCACCAGACAGGTGGGTAGCTGGGTGCAGGGGAGACGATACGAGACGAGACGAGGGTTTCTCTCTGATTGATCCTTCCTGTGTGTGTATGTTTTGTTGTCAGGCTCAGCAGTCGATAGAGCTGACGACGTCCTACTTTTATCCGCCGGGAGTGCTGCGTCGTGCGTTGGTATCGGCGTCGCGTCGTGGCATCCCGATTTCCATCCTGCTGTCGGGCAACTCGGACCTCCTTGGCGATGTCATGGGCTCAACACACCTGGTCAAGAAATTCTTGGTGAGTCGGGAGCAGCAAGACACACCAGAATCATTCCTTATGTGCGTCCGTCTGGTGTGCACGTGTGTGTGTGTCAGCGAGTGCCGGGGAACCAGACCCGTGTGCATTTCCTCATGCCGCAGCACATGCACGCCAAACACACTGTGGTCGACGGCGTCTGGAGCTGCGTGGGATCCTTTAACTGGGACAGGTACGCACCCATCCCACTCGCCCCTCCATCCATCCATCCATCGGTCTATATAGATCTATCAATCCACCAGGTATTCGGCTCGTCGGAATTTGGAGGTTGCGGTGTCGATATTCGACGGACAGGTGGCGTCGCAGCTGAGCGCTCTGCACCACCGCAAGGCCCACAACGAAAAGGAGTGCTACGAGATGACCTGGGAGAGGTGGCAGCGCCAGAGCCCTCTCAAGAAACTCATCTGCTGGTTCGCATACTGCTGCGTCAGGCTCACAGGTAGGTCGGTCGCCAAAAGGTGCATGGAGGCAGGTAAGGTGCCTCACGGGAACTCTTTCTGTCTGTCTGTCTGTGTGTGTGTGTGTGTGTGTTGACTGACAGGCAAGAATGTGTCGGATGGCTTGAGCAACACTCGTCAGAAGGCGTTGGTTCGTCGTGCGTTGATCCACACGTACCTGGACGAGCGGGCGGCCAAGAACCTGGCCACGGGCATGATGTGGGGCATTCAGTGAGGGAGGGAGGAGGGAGGCAGATAGTGAGCCAGACATTGTCGTTCGTTTCATGTTCATGAGGGGATGCATAGTTGCGCGTGTCGGTGTGAATGGTGCGGTGTATGATAAACCTCACTTGTCAACACACACAGCCGATTCGGCGCCAGCGGTGGTCAATTCGCGGTGAAATTCAGATTCTCACCTTCGACTGGGTGAGAATCTTGAATTCCTCAGCAACCTGACCACCACTGGCGTCGAATCGGCTCATCAGCAAGGGTCATTCGAGTGTCCGTGACATGTCCCTGGGCCTGTCTGTCTGTCTGTATAGGTGCCGGATACTGTTCCACGTATTGCCTCGCCTGCTTGTATGGCATAGCTAGCATCTCCTCCCTTGTATGGTATAGCTAGCATGTATCTTCACAGAGGGTGGAGGGGAGGAAGGTGTGGGTCCAGCCAGCCAGCCAGCCAGCCAGCCACACATACATATCCATCCGGTCAGTCAGGCCACTTTCCCTTGCTGCTGCTGCTGCCGCCCTTGTCTGTGCCGCTGGGTGTTTTGGGCGGTGCCCCTTGATTCATCATGACGTCCGGCGGGGCAGCAGTCAGGCATGTCAGCAACTCTTCCAGCTGGGCTGGGAGAGAGCAACCGGCCACACAAATGCATGCATACATGACATCCATTGTCTGATTGACTGGGAGGGCGTGTGTGTGTCTGTCTGTCTGACCTTTCGCCTCTGATGCATTGTCTGTGCTGCACTCGGCGATAGCGCTCCTCAACAGACGCTGCCATACACACAGTGGGTGAATGGTTGGTCGGTTGCCTGCTGTTTGTTAATAGCATGTGCTCTTCCTCTTCCCACCTCACACACGCTGAGTTTGGTGTGGAAGAAGTCCCTCTCGTCCTGCAAGGGCAGCAGCTCCTCAGCCATCGAACGAAGCCGCACAGCCCTGAACAAAAAACCATCGAAAACGCAAACAAACGGATGAGAGGCCTTCCTTAGCGTCAGGGCTCTCACCTCTCGTGCGAATTATCCATCGTGAAGCTGCAGAAAGTGCGAGCTTTGGTGGAGGAGAGGAAAGCGATGAGAAGCGATGAGAAGCCATGAAGGAAGCCGTGTTTCTGGCTATCAGTCTCTCACTACTGGTGAGAGAGATGCGTACACAAACCACTTGCTTCTCGCGGACGTCGTGTGCGCATGGTTGGCTGCTTGTCCGCAGATCTGTGGCATCCTCTGCTACGTGTGGTTGGCCCATTTTCGATGCCGAATGCGGCGAAAGGTGCGGTGGCACCCGTCGGAGTGTGCATGAGATGCCGTTTCCATTTGGCGGTTTGGCTATTTGTGTGTGCGCCGACCGCAGCACCGTCGGCCGCGGCATTACTCCGATGACACCGACGTGGTGGAGCTTGAGCGGGACTTCACCTCCGCATACACACTCGACAGCCATCCTGTAGCACACACATGCACAACCACAGACGATACGGAGCGAACGAAACACATATGGTGGAACAAACTCATTTGTGTGCGTGTGTGTGTCTTGTTGGCTGTCAGGTTGGCCCATCCGGCGTCAAGCTGCCGTGGTTCATGCCTGTGTTCCTCTCCCAGTGGTTGGCAGATCATGGCGGCTACGCGTACGGCCCTGTGGCGACTTTGGATGAGTCAGATGGGAGTGAGAGTGACGACGGTCAAGGGGATGGCGGAGGGGCTGACGGGAGGACGTATGGCGCCTTGTGACGGCATATATAGCTAGATGTGGTGGGCTGGGTGTGTAGGTAGGGTAGTGGTCGGTGTGGTTCGATGCTCTGCTCGCTGCTGCGCTGTGATATGAGATGAAATCAGCAGGGAGGGAGGGAGGGGAGGTTTTATGTGTAGGTGTGTGCAGCCGAATGAATCATCTATCCATCCTCTTTCTTTCTCTACTACAGACAGCCTGGTGTACATACAGACAAACACACCGTCCCGTCCCGCTGGTGAGTACATGTAGCCGTCAATGCATTACAAGTGTCTTACATTTGTGGTGTGTCATGTGCTGCATGGTTGGAATGAGCGTGTGACTCCGCAGGGCCGACCGACCGCTCCACTCATTCGTTTCTCTCTCTCTCTGAATGCATCCACCACGCACACACGCAGCACACAGGCAGGCCGAACAAAGAAAGCTGACTGACATGGGGGGAGGGGGGCAAAGCGCCGCGTGCCATATCGGACGCCCACACGCATGGTGCCCTCCTCTTACAGCCCATCCCTGTCACACCGCACACACACACATGTATGCTGCCACAATCCCCACCCGACGGACGGAGGACCATCAGCTCTAGCCTAATAAACCACATGAAGTCACATACACACATACATACATCCCTCCCTCCCTCCCTCACTTGCCTTGGCCTCTCTTGACACACTCTACACAACACACAGCCATCGAGATAGATAAATACCCCTCCCTACATACCTACCGAATCGTCGGAGAAAGGGACCGACGGACCCCTGAATGAATGGATGGATGGATGTGTGTGGATGTGTGTGTGTGTATGTTTGTGTGTGTGGGTGTAACCATCCATCATCTGTGCCTCTACGGTAGGTACGTGTTTAAGTCAAGTAGGTAGGCGAAGCGAAGAAGGAAGACAGGAAGTCGGTTGCTCTCTCTCTCTTGCATGGCACGCATCCATTGACAGACATCCATCGAATCGATTCATCTCATTCTCATCTACGCCACAAGGCAAGGCAAGGTCACTCACTAGCTGGCACACACTGCAGTGCCCTCACACCATATTGACACACCACACCACCACGCCATGCAAGCCACGCCACGCAAGCATACACACACAGAGGCAGGGCAGGGTAGCTGACGAGTCGAATCAACCAATGAATGTGCTGTGCGAGTGAGTGGGGAGGAGGGGAAAAAATGGCCAACCCTTTTCTCGGCGGTCGATCGACAGCAGGCATGGCATAGCATGGATGCGATGCAACTCACCTCGCCTCCACACAGGCATACACACACAGATAAAAACACCATTAGTGACCGACTACCTGGCTGGCTGACTACCTGGGGCGGGGTGGCTGGACGCACGCAAAATAGCTAGCTGCCAGCCACCGCATATAAGATACGAGTGCAACATTCATTCGTTGTTAATAAAGAGATCACGAAAGGCACACAAAATACAGACAGACTGACAGACAGACAGACAGCTAGGGAAGGAAGCATAGGAAGACTACCGTCACACCACACCACATGAACCCATTGCAGCGCCATCCCTGCTGACGAAAAGCGTCCGCAGGGATGGCGCTGCATTGCACTGCACCCAGCCAGGCACCGACAGGCCTGCCTGCCGATTGAGGATCGGCTAAGCGATGCACGCCCCCCGCAGCAGAGTGCCGCCATGATTGCCTTGCGGACACAAGTTCGACATGAAGTTGAAGAGGAAAAATAAACTCAGCCACCCCACACAGACGCTCCAAAAGAACAGGTAGCATGTAAATCGACCCTCCCAAGCCGTAATCAGCCCCCCAGCCGTGTCGCGATGCTCCATGATGGGCGCCAGCCGGAAATTCTCGCCCGCCCTGGCGGTCGCCAGGCCCTTGTGCCCCTCAAACAGCAGGAAGGCACTCGACCCCGCCGCAGACCGCCGGTCGCTCGATGACGCTGCGGGGGCAGGGTGCGTACCAAGAGATGACGCACTAGGCCGCCTGCCCTCACGGCTGCTCATGCTCAGGGTGAGTGAGTCGGCGGGCGTTGGCCGACTCCCGCCCGTGGACTGGCTTGTGAAGGGGGTGTCTGCTGGCGGGAATGGAGGCGGGGAGGGTGAGATGGGCGGCAGGGAAGAAGCGATGTCGCCGGGATGGTGAGTGGGGGAGCCTGGGTGTGCGGTCAGGATGGGCGGGGGGAGGGGTGGGGGTGAGGGGGGCTCGTCAGCCACGTCGTCAGGGGGCACCGGCGGCTGGCTATCGATGAAGAGCGACAGCTGACGCCTTGGCTTCTTCTTGGCCGGCTGTTGGGTGGCGCTGCTGCTGCCCAGGTCGCCTCTGAGAGTCTCAGGGGGGATGTCGGACGGACTGAGCGACTCCCACGCCTCGCTCTCCTCCTGGCTCATCTCCAGCGCCACATCAGCCTCTCCCTCTCCCTCTGCACCAACGCCAGCACCGGTGTCGGTGTGTGCCGCCTCTTTCTCTCTCTCCTCCTCCATCTCCATCTGCCACGTACTGCGGGGCAGAGCGAGGGGCCGCATCCTGTACCGCCGCTTCTTCTTGTGGTTGTTGTGTGCTCCGTTGCCCTCGCTGAATGAAGTGATCCATGAGGCCGGAATGCTGACCTCAGACTCGCCCCGCTCGGATGCGGCGTCTTGGGGGAGAGGAGGAGAGCCGGGCGGCGACAGGGATGGCAGGGGCTGCTGCTGCTGCTGCTGCTGCTGGGCTGCTGGGGGGGAGGGCTGCATCCCACACACAAGCCGATCTGGAAGGAAGATGAAGATGAAGTCGCCGAGGAGCTCACCTGCACGTGCAAACATGTCCATCCATTCTTGCACTGCACTGCACTGTACTGCACGTGCACGTGGGTTGGGTGGAGGTGGTCTTACCGACAATTTGGATGGCTCCCTGGATCCACACCATCGGCAGTGACCACTCATGTAAGGGGCCCTGAGCGTTGATGGAGTACAGCCATATGACGAGCGGCGCAAGCAAAGTGGCGTAGGTCTCGGAGAGGAAATGCACCACCGGCACCGTGTCATAGAAGGCTCTCGACTCCTCGGCGAACAAGAGCTGCAGCAGAGCGATGGGTGGCCGCCTCGAGTCCTCCTTGTGGCCATCCCCCTCGCCCAGCTCGTCCTCTGCTTGCTGATCGGCCCCTCCTTGGTCCTGCTGCCGTTTCTTCTTTCGCTCTCCTTTCTCCTTTTGCAGTGCCGTCAACTGCTCTGCTAGGCTGCCTTGCTGCGGTGCTCTCGCAGACGCGTCACGCTGTGGCTGCTGGCCCGGCGTGGAGGTGGAGGGGGATGGCAGGGGTGCGGAGCGCCTCTTGTGGCACTTGTGGCAGCATGGCGGCATACGTGTGATGATGGCCGAGTAGACCCGGACCGCAGCCACGTCCGTCTCCTGGTCATCGATATGGATGGAGAGTGGACAACACAGCATCGCATCAGTCATGAATGCTCCTGTGTACCGCCCGCCATCACGCCCATATGGTACGGTACCCATGCAAATTTGTGACAACGGATCTCGAAGACCAAGGCAAGCACTTCTGCCGCAAGACCCGTCCACACGTTCGTCAAGACGCCCTGCAGAAACCGACCTACCACACTGACACAGACACGGACAGAATGGACACACTGAGAGCCGGTGGGTGCGGGTGGGTGCAGTGAACGCGTCGATGCGATGCGATGCGTACCGTACCTGAAGTAGCAGACGAGTGGGAGGTAGATGACATGCCGCCACAGCGGCTGGATGGTCGTCAACCGGAGGGCGAAGACGCGGCCGAAAAAGAAACACACCTCCGATATGAGCACCAGGCAGAGGCGCAGGATCAGCTTGCCGAGGTCGCTGAGGGTGAGGGCCTGGCCCGTGATGATGTTCTGCGATACGTAGATGAAGAGAGGCATCAGCAGCATGCCACCGAAGGCCCCCCATCTGCACGCATCGCATCGCATCGCATCGCATCGCATTGGTAGGGCAGGCCAGACCTCTGCTGTGTATCCTATCCTATCCATCCGGCTGGCTGTCGTGTTCTTCTCATGCTAACAGCTGTCTTGTCTTACTTACCTTGCGTCTGGTGGGCTCCAGCAGGGCGATATGCACCCAATGTAAGGAAGAAACCTGAGCGAACAACACCAAGCCAAGGAGACTGTTTGTATCATGCAGTCAGTATGCCTGTGTGAGTGAGGGAGTGCCTGTGTAGTGTACGCACGCACGCGAGATACAGCGGCAGGCGCGCCACAGCGAAGCTGACATCATACGGCACAGTGAACCACCTCAAAAGGTACTCAAGCACCACCACCAGGAAACAACCCAATGTCAGCGCCACGCCCCACTGGTGTATCCTCCGCCGCCCCGGCAGCTTCGGGTGAATGACATGGTTGAGAGCCATCACCCAGGGGATAATAAGGCTGGACCGCACCGCATCGATAAGCATCCCAGCCAGGAAGAGCGACCAGGGGTACCAGTCACGAATGAGCGTCCCATCGGTGAGGGCGGGGTCGTACTTGGACCAGTAGGTGAGGGAGAGGCCGGTGCTGTGGAGCTCCCGCAACTCGGCGCCGAAGAAGATGGATACGGGCACCTGGATGAACATCTGCATGACGACGGCGAGCAGGGCGTACAGCTGGATGTGGAACACGCACAGCAGCACCCGACGGCGGCTCTTGCTGCCGTTCTTGACAGAGCCCTCGCCGGTGGCGCGCTGCTCACGGACCGAGCCCTGCCGCTGCACTGGGAGGTCCATGCGATGGGTGGTAGTGCGTCACGGTGGCATGGCCCGCTCATGAAGACCAGCGATCACGCCGCCATCGCTCTGAAAACACAAAGCAGGCAGACAATGCATTGAAGCGGCCGTGCCCATCACCATCTTACCGGCCGAGGAGGAGCCCCTGCTGAGTCGTTGCTTGCGCCAGTCAGATCTGCTCATTGCATTTCTTCGCTGTTGAGCCCAGATGGCCTACGCAGCAGCCACGTATACCACGGCAGCGAATCTCGTCCCTGGCACCGATGCAAGCTCAGTTGCGATCTCGCCACTGAAACGGAGAAGGAAGGAGCGGAGATGAGCAGCGCACAAACAAAGGTGTCGTTCGGCTTCACATCATGGCAGCAGGTGCGATCATCCACCTGTAAAAACAATCACAAGACAATCACTCTATCGACTCTCCGCTTCCTGCCTCCTGTCCTTTGTGCCTGCCTTTAATTCTGTGCATGCAATGCAGGGTGCCCTGGTGGCGAGCAAGAAGTTCTACCCGCCGAATGCCAAGACGGGCGTCGACCAGCTGACCTTCTATGCGAATCAATACCCCTGTGTGGAAGTGGACTCATCGCACTATGCCATGCCCACAGGTCAGGCAGGCCGCACACAAGAGCTTAGCTGGATGAATGCCATCCATTCCGATGCGTGCATTCATTCACTCATGAATGACTGGCTGCAGAGCGCCGCACCAAGGAGTGGGCGGCCGCTGTCCCCAAGGGCTTTCTATTCCACGTAAAAGTATTCGGCCTTTTTGCTAAGATGAAAGTGCCCGTCGGCGCCATACCCAGAGAGGTCTGTTGAGCGAGCCACTGGCCAGACAGACGTGACATCACTATTTCTCACTGTGTGTCAGTGCCGTGAGGGTCTGCCGGTGGCCGAAACGTCGGCCGCTGAGTCGAGCAAGGGCGAGGCGCAGCTCAGCTATGAAGATCTCGATGACGACACGCGCGACAAGCTGTGGAGCCGATACGTCGAGGGAATGCGGCCGCTGGCCGACGCCAAGAAACTCGGATGCGTACTGTTCCAGTTCCAGCTGAATTTTGCGCCGACTGACGGCAATCGTGCTTACCTGGAGGAGTGTGTTGACCGACTGTCTGCCCTCAAGACCACCCTTGTGTGCGAGTGAGTGAGCAACACGATGACAGACAGACAGAGGAAAGGCGACAGAGAGAGAATTGTCCGTTACTTACTGTTGTGCCCATCAATCAGGTTTCGGCATAAGGCGTGGAGCGAACAGCAGGTGAGGAACAGACAAGGAAGGACGCAGACAGACATGCACAGACATTCCGAGTCACGATCGATCGTGTGTGTCGGGTGGGGGCAGAATTTGTCCTTCCTCTTGAAGAATGGCATCGGCCTGGTGCTCACAGACGATGACTCGACATCCACGCAAAACGTAACTACCGTACGTCAATATGCTATGTACTGAGAGAATCAATCAATGTGTACATGATAATATGATTCCTGTCTGCCTGCCTGTACCTGTACCTGCCTGTGTCGATGGTGGGTGGGTGCTGCGGTGTCCGGCTCCATTAATGCCTGCAGGTGAACTTTCGGGATGTGCTATCGACCACCAAGGACAGCTCCATCATTTACTTCAGGTGGGCTGCGCATCCCATCCATCTATACAAAAGCGACCACATCCGATCGGGCACTCTGTTCTGTCTGTTTTTCTGTCTGTCGATGCAGGTTGCACCGCCGGTATGGCGACTACCGTCTGCTGGACGACAGGGAGATCGGTGTGTGGCGCGACCTGCTCAAGGAGGCTTGCCAAAAGCCGACACGAAAAGTAGGTGATCGATCGGATCGATCCATCAATCATATATGCATACATACATACCGGCCTTTGGTTGGATGCTCCACGCCACACCTGTGCCTGCTATGCGATGCCTGAAATGTATGCGATTTTATATATTAGGTTTTCGTCCTTGTCGGCACGTAAGCAACACGATGCACCGCACCTTGCTGTCTGTTGTTGTCATACTCACTCTCTGCCATCCCTCCTGCAGTGACGCTGAGGACCACACTCTCCTCAACACGCGGCGGCTGGAGCAGGCCATCGCGCCCGACGGACTAGCGGACGACTGGCGGGAGCAGCGCAAGCAGGCCAACCCCCTCCTGCGGATGCTCAGGAATGCCGCCGCAGCCAAGGCAGCCAAACAAGAACAGACATCTGACGGACCTACTGCCGAGAGTGCTGCCGCCTCTGCTGGTGCTGGTGCTGCTGATGCTGGTGCTGGCGGATCACCAGGCGTCAAGCGAGAGCTTGAGGAGACCGACGAGGGGAGAGAGGGGGAGGCAGAGGGGGCTGGTGGTGATAGTGAGAAGAATGAGACAGCAGAGAGGCCAAAGAAGCAGGCCAAGACAGCGAGTGTTAGCGGTGGGAAAGGTAGGAAGGGCGGGAAGGAAAAGGGAAAGGGCAAGGATGCCAAAGGCAAAGGTCAGCCAGACATCCGGGGCTTCTTTCTCAAGGGTGTCAACAAAGAAACACAGTGACTGCCCGACGATCTGCAATCAATGGACCTCTCCCTCAATGCATTCGTAGCCTTCATTCTTGTTTTTTCACCCAAGCAAGTGTGTCTCGTGTCTCTGTCTCTGTCTGCCCCGCGGCTGTGCGGTCATCCTCGACAAATCTCATGTACAGGAGCCTACACATGAACGATACGCATCCATCACACAGCTTGTTCGCAGCAGACACCAAACAAGGCCGCCGATTTCGGCAGGCAGGTAGGCAGGAGATCAATCAACATGGCGGTGCCTCGGGAAAGTACCCCAGCACCCTGTTGTAGACCTGAAGCACGAAGTTGGCCGCCTCTAAACACACACGAGACAGAAAGAGAAATGCCTCATGTAATCAGTAGCGCTTCTGTGTCCGTCACTTACCAGAAAAGTCGAGTCTTCCGTCTTTGTTGGCGTCACACTCTTGGAACAGACCAACCCAAGTCTGCACACGCACAGATACACACACACACGGTGACGAACCATACACACAAATCAATGCCATTTCTGTCCTGTCCGTTGGCACCGACCGAATGTGGGAGTGGCGGCACGGCGAGGCCGTGGTGCAGGAAGATGCGCCGAATGAAGGCCATCATCTCACCAGTGGGCCACTGCAGGAACCCGTCGCCGTCCAAATCAACCTCGCGAATGATGTCCCACAAATTCTCTGTGTGCACCTGCATCGATTCTCACAGATGACAGACGAGCCTCTCTCCGGTCCCTGCACCCATACCCCATACAGTACATGTGCGCATGCTTACATCCCACTCAGTCGTGTAGCTCTGAATGCCGTCAGTATGTGTCTCGAACACTTTCCACACCTCAGTCACCACATCAATGGCCTCCAGCTCGCCCCTCCCCCCCACACTCATCGGCCGCACTCCACCACCAGACGCAGGCCCGGGAATGCCGCCCCCGAACGTGCCAACAGGACGGGCGGAATACCCGGGGGCGGCACTCACGGGGGGAGGAAGAAACGGCGCTGCAGGCGGACGAGCAGGGAATACGACGGGCGGTCTCCCAGGTATGGGAGGGAAAGGGGCGACGGGGCCGGTTGGCGGCCTGAAGGAGCCACTCGGCGGCATCAGAGGAGGGCGGACAGTCACTGAGGGAGGCGGCGGGGCGATGGGGGGACGGATGAATGGAGGACCTGGGGGGGCGCCAAGCGGTGGCCGAACAGGAGGGCCACTCCAATGACCTTGCGGTGGCAACAGCATCGTGAAAAAGCGACGATTGCGGCGATTGGATTCACACAGCAAAGCAATTGCGAGCTTAAAGGTGACGTCTTGAATTGGCGGTGACGAGAGAGAAGAAAATGGTGAGCCGTGCCACCCTCAGGACACACCATAGTCGGCATCTGATGAAACGACGATAAATCTCTCCACTTCTGCATCGGCAACCCGAACCATTGCGTGTCTGCCTTGAAGTTGTCACGTGCTCTTTCGCCCATGTGGAGTGATCCTTCGGCAGGGCGCTCGGCGTCCCTCGCTGCCCCTCCCTCATCGAGTGCGCAGGCTGCCAGCGGGCCGACGCCGGGCACGTCAGATCCCGGGCCTTCGAGCAGCAGCTCATCTGGGCCTCCCAAGAAGCCGCTGGTCAAGCTGCAGAGGTTCGGCGCATGCTTTGCCAAGGAAGCCGTCGACCTCAGTGAGTCAGTCGGAAGGAGGAAGGAAGAACACTCGACATGGGATGAGTGGGTATTACAGGGTTTTACCATGTGGCCTGCCTGTGTGTCATTTAGATGAGCTGCGTGAGCTGTTGTGGTCTGGTGTGCCCGATGAGGCGGATCCCAGCGTAAGGGCCAAGGCGTGGCAACTCATGCTGGTGAGTGAGCTTAGGAAGAGGGAGGGAGCCAAGATCTATGACGTTGCAACCGTCGATGCATTTGTTTGCTGTGTGTGCGCCTACCCTGCTTCACTCAGGGCTATCTTCCTGTTCACGTGGAGAGGCAAGTCACAGGTGAGCGACAAGCAAGTGAAGTGTGTGGATTGATTGATCGGAAGCACTCTCATTCACTCACTGCAGGTCTCTCCAAGAAGAGGAGGGAATATCGGGAGCTTGTCAAGGTCAGACAGACAGAGCACACGGACGGCTGTGTGTGTGACTGATGTAGACAAACACAACCAGCAGTGGGTGGGTGATGGATGTTCTGTGTGCAGGATTACTTTGAGCGCTCGCCCGAGATGAGATCTGACAACGAGAACCAAATACTCAGACAGGTCGGCAATTGACCACTTCATTACCACCGCCACCGCCACCAGCAGCAGCAGCAGCGGTTTTCCTTCTCCCTCTCTGTGTGAGTGTCGGCCAGATCCGTGTGGACATTCCTCGTACGAATCCGGGTTTCAAGTTCTTCGGCGATGCCGTCATGCACGGCATCATGGAGAGGACGCTGTTCATTTGGGCGCTCAGGAACCCTGCAAGCGGATATGTGCAGGTAGGTGCACTGCACACGGAGGAAGGGGATAGACAGACCATGGCAACAGAACTAAGACATCCATCCATTTGTTGCGCCGGCCTGTGTGTGCAGGGCATTAACGATTTGATCACCCCTTTCCTCGTGGTCTTTCTCGCCTCCTACCTCAACAAGAGAGGTACACACACATTTCCTTCCCATGGCGCGTGGCGTGTTGTGTGGTGAGCGATCCACGTATCCATCCATGCATATGTATGTGTGTGCAGATGAGGATCTTCACGAGTTGGAGATCAGTGAGGTGCCGTCCGAGGTGCTCGAGCACATCGAGGCCGACGCATACTGGTGCCTCTCAAAAATGCTCGCAGACATACAAGTCAGTCAGTCTCCCAGGAAGGAGGGGACAGCTGCCGGAAGGAAGCAGCGCACTCCGACCCTATCGCCACAAATGTTATGCGTGCATGTGTGTGTGTGTGTGTGTGTGGCTCAGGACCACTACACGTTTGGTCAGCCGGGGATTCAGCGGATGGTGCTGAGGCTCAAGGAGATCGTCAAAAGAATTGACGGTCGGTGGGCCGGCGACGCGACTCGCGCCACCGATGCGATGCACACACATCTGCATTGCTCTGTGTGTGTGCGGGTCATATATCTGCGCAGAGGCGCTGTACGACCATTTGACCAACAACGGGTTGGAGTTTCTCCAGTTCTCATTCAGATGGATGAACTGCTTTCTAATGAGGTAGGGAGGGACGACACACAGACTGACCAATGAGGCAAAAGCCAAAGATGCTCCCGTCTCTCTCTCTCTCTCTCTCTGTGTGTGTGTGTGTGTGTGTGTGTTGACTGACAGGGAGTTTCCGATGCGTTGTGTGATACGTCTGTGGGACACGTACATAGCCGAGCAAGCCAGCGGCTTCTCCAACTTCCATGTCTACGTATGCGCAGGTGGGCAGGCGGCACACACAGAGGAGGCAGGCCGGCCGCTTCACAGAACAGACGGACGATAGGTCGGTCTTTCCTCCTGTCCGTGTGTATGTATGTGTGATTGGCAGTCTTCTTAGTTTACTGGGCTCCTCAGCTCAAGATGATGGACTTTCAACAGGTGGGTGCTTACACACTCGATAGATCTCATATGCCTGTCTGTCTATCTGTCTGTCTGGGTGTCTGAGTGTATGTCTGGGTGTGTCGCACGTCTTGTGTTGCGTGTGGTGCAGATGATGTTGTTCATGCAGAAGTTCCCGACCGAGCAGTGGCGGCCGCAGCAAATCGAAACACTACTCGCCGAGGCGTAAGCCAGCGCGCACACACACTGCCCAAAGCCCTCCCATCCACTCCCTCCACTTATGCACTCGTGTGTGTGATAGGTATGTGCTCAAGAGTTTGTTCCACTCGTCCCCCAAGCACCTCTCGTAAAGGCCGGCCTCCAGTGAGTCAGTGGCTGGCTCGCTGCGTGGCTGCGTGCGCGGGCGGGCGGGTGGGTGGGCGGGTGTCGGGTGGGTGGACCTATGTAGCGACATCTCTTCCTGTGTGGACGAATGAATGCGTGGGCTGGATGGATGGATAACAAAATACCGGGTCCCGTAGTTGGTGCATCGCCACGCAAAAGTGACCGTCCCTGTTCGGCACACACCATGCATGTGCGCACACACACATCCATAAACAGCCGGGATGAGTTCAAGGAGTGTGTAAATTCAAATGCAATCGCCGCGATGGCGATGCATCTCTCTTCCTTTGCTGGGGCGCTCTTTGTTCTGTGGACTATCCCCTGTCACTATTGCCAGTCCCTTTGCAATGATCCAGAGTATCCCATGCAACAGACGCCGATCAGCCTGCCCGACCCGGCATCCATCGGCCGATCAGCAAAGGCGCTGTTCTACCGCCTTCCGCCGGTGCGAAACATGCCCGTCTTCAAGACCTCAGGAACGGAGCTGACCCTCACCTTCCCAAAGTACATCGGAGGCTTCGGCTATGATGTGGCCTTCCCGCCCTCCGCCGCTTACCGGCTGTACCTCATCCGCATCCTCATGCCCTCAGAGCACACCTGGCAGGACGAGGAGAGGGCTGCTGAAGTGCAGCTATGGGGCAGGAGGGCCGGCGTGGCGCCAGGGCAGACCGACAGCATCGGTGTGGCCTCCTTTGGTGTGTCTGAGGGGACGACGGCCAGCCCGTTCCTTCACGCCGTGGCCAAGGATTTGGCGCTTCATGTCAGCGATCTGCCTCATGCCTTCCGGGAGGGCCCCCTCAACCTATCGTCCCTCTTCGCTGCGGATGACACGACAATGAGCCACGACCAGGGCGTGGCGTTCTTTGTCTACAACGGGTCACTGACGGAGGAGCCATGCTGCGGGATGGTCAAGTGGTTCATCAGGGCTACGCCGGTCCGAGCACATGCGGAGCAGCTGATGATGCTGAGGAGGTTTGCTGCACAGAACATGACAAGCAAGCCGCCAGCCATGCGGCGACCCATCCAGGTAGGCATGCCTCAAATTACAGAATCTTTATCATAACCGACCGACGTTTCCTTCTGTTTGTTGTCTGTCTGTCTGCCAGCCCATCAAGTGCGGCATCCCCTCAGAGCGAGTGACTCTTGTTTCTGCTGTAGATGCCACCTCGCTGGGCAAGTACCAGCACACAGCAAAGGCCAAGGCGGCCCCGCCCGACCCCATGGCACGTCTGTCGATATCCGAGGTGACCGAGAAGGTCGAGGAGCTCAAAGAGGGCCTTGACACTGCCGAAATGGAGTTACGTCGCCCATCCCATGCAAGGGAATGTTCTTTTCACTACATGGGTTCTTTGTCTGCGCAGGTGAAGTCGGCCACCGCACGATTGAAGCAGCGCGAGGACCACCTGAAGGCTTTGGAAACCGAAGACCAAGACGACACATCGACAGCCGAGTCCACGAAAACTTCGGTATGGAAGGCAAGAACGGGGATGACGAAGCTGCAATTTTGTCTCTCTCTTCCTTTTGTGTTAGTCATGGATTGTGGACTATGAAGGCGAGTCGAAGCCGACCAAGGCGCGAAACGAGTAAGCAGGGAGGGTTCACTTCAATGGATGCCAAAGTGTCATTCTTGTGTGTCAGGTACAACGAAGTGTTGGCTGAGTTGGCTTCTGCGGAGGACAAGCTGCGCACCATCCATGCGCAGCTAAGGCGATACAACGAACGGCTGAGGTGCCTCAATCAGGTGTGGGGCCAGGCAGGCATGAAAAGCAGAGAGTGCAAAAGGTTCGTGATGTCCGCCACCTTCGTTGCTGCATGTAGGAGGAGGACACAGGGCGCAAGCCGTGGCATTTTGAGATGCGAGTCCCTCCACACAGCCCCATCTATCCTGTAGACGCAGGTGTCTGCTTGCATTCCCCATTTTCTCGTGTTCATGTATTGTCTTAAGACTGTCTCTCCCATGGGTTTCAGGTTGTTTGGCTGACCCCTACTGTCGCGTTGACGTAGAGGAATGGTCCCCAACCCCCCCGCTCCCAGCGAGAGACTGGCAGCACCATCCGCTACGCGCCAACCTGATGCAGCCCGACCTTCCTGATCTCGAATACCCCACTTGTGTGGAGGTGGTGGACGCACCGCTACCTCAGCCCGTTCACGCCATCGAGAGGCCCAAGGAGGCTGTCGTTCGGTCTGACGTCACGTCGGGTCCGACGTGACGTCAGACCGTGTGGCCATGGGGATAGCCGAGAAGGGACAGTCGCTGGCTGATGCTATGGTCACCTTTGGGAGCAAGGAGGCCCTTAGCAAGGCCATCGAGAAGAGTATTGCCGGCACTCTTGGTGGGCGCCCAGATGCAGGGAACGGACGGCGGGAAAAATGGGTGAACACTTACTACTTTCTTGTGCTGCTTGTCTCAGGGGTGTCGTCTGCGGCTGTGGTTGTCCGTAATCTGACGGATTGTGTCATAGTGGACTTGAGCATTGGCAGCGACGTGGCGGGCTCCAATGTCACGGCAGCCATACAGGCCCATCTCGATGACCCCAATAGCCCTCTCCGCACGGGCCCTCTGGGGCCCTATATGTCAAAGGCCTTTGTCAAGGACGCCACACAGCCCACAACAGCTGCAACAGCTACGAAAACTGCCAGTATGGGTGCACTACAGAAGACTCGGAGGTCATTCTGGTCGTTCCTTCAGCCGTTCAGGCATGTACATCAGGTGAGCAAGGGCATCCTGCCTTCTTCTTCTCTTCCAAGCTGCATCAAGTGTGTCTCCTTCTCCTGTCTGTCTTTGCAACAGCGTAGTGTGCAGCGCGAAGCCACCATCCGTCATGGCTTCTCTCAGCCCGCCCTGTCCGGCGGGCCACACAGCGTGGAGCTGCGTGTCAAAGACCAGACAGACGAGGACCTGCCCGCCACCTTCCAAGAAAAGCTGATCGACGAGCTGACCAGGGCGGCTAACATCGCACATGTAAGTGGCGTGGACAGTCTGCCGCCCGCCCTGTGAATGTGCGAATGTGTGTGCTGGTCGGTCAGGATAGCATGAGTGTCGAGTCCACGTCTCCCGGTGTCGACGTGGATGTGGAGGTCATACCATCGGAAGAAGGACAGACTGCACAGCAGGTGGGTCGCAATGAGCCGCGTACACCTACCTCCTGCAGGCCATGGATAGATTCCAATGCATTCATTGATCAGATGGTGGAGGCGATTGATGCGGCGCTGGCTGATCCATCCAGCAGCATCCGCACTGAGGCCGAGGGATTCCTGGCGACCGCAGTCGTCGAGACGCGTGTCATTCCCGTAAGCCCGCTCGACCAAGTCTGGCAAGACCAGTCGAGCAGCCTTGCTTGCACATCCTTTGTGTCTCTGTGCAGCCCCCCGCATCAATATCGACGCACTCACCACCTCCAATGTCAGTCGACGTCACGCCAACAACGAGCCCGCTGGACAACAAGGGGACGCGCCCGTCTGAGGCTGCCTCGAGCATCGGATCTTCCAGCGGTGCCCCAATGCTGCTCCTGACGAGCCATCTGCCGACAAGTCCAGTGGGAGTTCGGGGGAGAGATTGCCGCAACAAGAGACGACTCAAGGGCCGCTTGTTGGAGGGACGGGACAGCCACCGACAGCGAAGGCATCTGCATCGCAGTCTCCGCAACAAGACGGCGGGCAAACCACGACCCTATCGCCCCCCACAAATGCAGCGAGACTCGGGCCCACCCGCACCCCGTTGCAGCCCTCTCCAGCTCCACAAGGACGGTCTCGAGGTCTACCGCAAGGCACGAGTCAAGCCACACCAGGCGAGGCAGCAACAACGTCAGCATCAACGTCAACATCAGCCCCCTCCGCCGCTTCCCCTTCCTCCCCTTCTCGCCCATCCCCTTCGTTCCCAAAGCAAGTGGCCGACCAGGTGCCGCAGGCGATGCCGCCCGTCCAGGAGCCTGTCCCAAGCACACAGCCGCCAGCCGTCAAACAGCCAGTGGAGACACGCACACCCGACCCGGCTCACCAAGTCTCGGAGACCACCACCCAGCCATCGACCCAAGACCGTGCTAAGACGGCATCTGGTGGGGGTGCAGCGACACGCACACCGACAGGAGTGGCCACAATGGCGCCTCCACCGGCAGCAGCTGGGACAAGACAGCAGGCTGCACATGGTGAGGTGGCATCGACCGCTGCCCCTCCGGCACCGACCAGCGGGACTTCGCCTCCTTCAAGCACCACCTCTCTGCCGTCTGTGGAGGCAACGACTGTTGCCTCTCCGCCCGCAGCTGGTGCTGCCCCACCACCGTCAGGGGCCACCACCAACATGCCACAGACGCAGACGGCCTCTGGTGCATCCCCCGTCCCTACCCCCACACCGACAAGTGGTGCCGTGCCACAGCCGGTCCCAGGCGGCACGCCACAACCCGCTGCGGGTGGTGCAGCAGGGGGCGACTGGCGGTCATGGTGGCAAACCACTACCACCACACCCCAGCCCCCAGCAGCATCAGTGACAGAGCCTCTCTATCTCCCCCCAGCCACCACCCTGTCGCCCAACGAGTCCGGCAACTACACACTAACGGACCCTTTAGGGCTGTCGTCAGGTCCGTCTCGGCCCGTCTTCCCGCCTTCATCCAGACAAAGTAGCCATGGGAATCCACCCACACAGGAGCATGCCAGTGCCGACAGGGCCGCACATGCGGATGTGGGCGGGGGCGGGGGTAAAGGTGGCGCGACGTATTTGGTCATGCGGAGTGAGAGAGTGTCGCATTCGAGATCGTATAGCGGGAGAAAGCGGCGCGCGTGAGGCAGGCAGACAGACAGACAGATGTTTGTGGCAGCTTTTGGTGTATGTATTGTTTATGAGACCGAGAGGGCTTTGAGGCACGAGTGTCCCACACAAATGTGCACACATTGATTGCATTCCACATGGTCAAAACTGTTGCATGTCAATTGTCGTTCCTGTGCAGACAGACGTATGGATGGTATGAATGAACGACACAATGCCATGCCTGTTCTTCGACAGACAGGGAGGAAAACCCATCCATCACACACAGCACAGCACAGCACAGGCAGACACCACACCACCAGCACTCACTCACTGCACGTGTCACAGTGTGTGTGTCAGTCATGTCCTCCCCTTGACTACAAAGACGCTGCCATATGTGTGTGCATCATTATGGTTCGTGTATATGATATGCTGTGTGAAAGGCAACACAGACACACACACACACACACGCACCCACAGCACGAACGGGCTGGGCTCTATACACAACCCAAAAAATCCCTCCGTCAAATCGGATGAATCCCTC